CCCTGCCCATCACCCTCTCCCTCAGCTCTGCAGAGAGAAGCTGCTCACCCTGGCTTTGAGGTCTCCCTGGGTGCCCATTCCTAGTGGGTGTGTTTTCCTTCAACAGATACAAGGACCAGCTCCAACATAAGGCGGCGCTGGAGCAGCTGGGGACGCTCTTGACCACCGAGCGGGAGGCTCTGCAGCAGGAGCAGAGGACCAGCGCCATGGCCACCGAGGAGAACCAGAGGCTGCAGGGAGAGCTGGACAGGTAACCGCCAGGCCCCCTGCAGCACCTCTGCCCGGATGTCAGTCTGACCCACTCACTCAGCACCCGCTGAGCTGAGCTCAAGTGAGACCCCTGGTGATGGTGCATTTTTACCAACCGTGCCCTGGAGGCAGCTGGTGGGCAACGAGGTAAAGGGGACTCCAGCTGGTGGCCGGAACGAATAACTCGGCAGCTGGGATGGGGCATTGTCTAGGTTTGGACAATCTCCCCTCCCACAGTTATGATGCTGATGACTGTTGGGCAGGGGCACCTGCATCCTCTAACACCAGCAATCCTGTGAGGGAGGGATGCTCAGTCTCAGCATTCACGCATTCCCATTTGTGAATTCACCTCCTGGATGAACTGTACTGGTGACCCCCAAATCAGTGCCCGTGGCCTGTCATGGACGTGCCCAGTGTGGGAGATACTGGAGTCGCCTGATGTGCACATTTGCAGCTGAGGTTGAACAAGGCCTTTGACCCCAGCCTTTTTTCAGCTCTCACCTACCATCCTCCCCTTCATGGGCCCCTGAGTGCCATGGTATTCATTTTTGTGCGTTTTGGTGATGATTTCGCTGTTTGAAATGGCTCCCAAATGGAGTGCTGAAGTGCTGTCTAGTGTTCCCAAGCGCTGGGCCTTACGGGGAATGTACGAGTGACACTCAAGGGTCATTTGGACCCAGGTATGGTGCTGTTGGCTCTGAGTGTATTACAGGAGGCGTCTTTGTGTCTTGATCAGCTGACACAATGTGACCAGAGACTCCCAAGAACCGGTGGGAACAGGTTCAGTATTCACATTATACTGTGAATCATGATAATTGATTGAGCTATTGTTATCCTTTAAAAAAACCAGAGCAACAGAGGAGAAAACAGGCTCAGGGAGATTAAACAACTTGTTCATGGTCAATGCTCCTAGTTAGTGGCACAGGCAGGATTCAAATCCAGGTCTTGCCTCAACCTAGAGGCTTGACCACATGAAGCCTTCCTTTGCACAGCCCTGATTTAACATGTGCTGTGGGGCTGTAAACTCAGCTGCCTGCAGTGGCCAGGCAGGTCCAGCAGGTGGGGAAGGAGAGTCAGCGATAGACCAGGCCCTGGTGGAGAATACACCCAGCTAGAGGCTGTCAGCTGGGAGGCAGGTCTGGCTGCCAGGTCATCCTTCTTTATGCTTTTTTTTTTTTTTCTGAGAAGAAGATATCTGAATGTTGATGGAAACTTAAAATTTTGGAATGCTGGTACAATAATTATTTTTTTGTTGTGTTTGTTTTTCAAAAATATCTGCTTTGTTTGGGCAGGACAGAGGACCAGGAGCAGTGGTTCTCAACCTTCCTAATGCCACTATCCTTTAATACAGTTCCTCATGTTGTGGTGACCCCAATTTAATTGTTACAAATTGAACAAAATTAAAGCATAGTGATTAATCACAAAAACAATATGTAATTATATCGGGTGTCCCAAAATTCACGCAAGATATGCAACTAAATTCAATTGCAAATCATGCGTGAATTTTGGGACAAGCTATATGAGTGTTTCTGATGATATTAGG